GGAGGTTGTTCCATGTAGATTTTTTCTTCTAGTTCACCATTTAGAAAGGCAGTCTTTACATCCATTTGATGAACTATCAACCTGTGAAAAGAAGCCAAAGCAAATAGAACACGAATGGTTGCTATTTTTGTTACTGGTGAGTAGGTATAGAAATAGTCCTCACCGAATTTCTGTGTGTAGCCTTTAGCTACTAGTCTGGCCTTGAATCGTTCGATTGACCCATCTGGTCTCAACTTTCTTTTGAAAATCAATTTACAGCCAATTGGTTTGCAACCCTTAAGTCTATTAACCAGTTCCCAAGTGTGGTTAGACTGAATGGAGTCTAGCTCACTTTTAAATGCTTCTTTTCACAATGTGGAATCTACAGAGCGCATTGCTTCTTCGAAGCTCTTGGGCTCTTCTTCTAGGACTAATTGACATATGGGCTGATCGCAAAGTTCATTTAGATCTTTCAACTCAGTTACATATGTCAAGAAGTCAGAGCCAAAGTTTTTCTCAACTCTAGGCCTTTTGCTCCTCCTTGGCTCCTCAGAGTTGGTTGGAAAGCTGGGAAATATATTATGCGTATCTTGAAGTCTATCAACATGTGAATCATTAGCATTCTTCAACGGAAATATGTGTTCAAAGAATATGGCATCTCTAGATTCACACATAGCACGATTTTTCAAACACATAAATCTGTATGTTGCGCTATTTTCGGCATACCCTACAAAAATGGCATCTAAAATTTTAGGTCCCAAATTGGACCTTTTGAAGGATGGTAATCCTACTTTGGCCAAGCAGCCCCATACCTTTAGGTATTTTAGATTTGGAGCGTGCCCTTTCCAGAGCTCATAAGGGTTTTTTCAAACCCTTTGTGCGGGACTCTATTTAAGATATGGTTTGCTGTTAGAACAGCTTCTCCCCACAAGGAGTCTGGTGCACCAGAACTGATTAACATTGCGTTGATCATTTCTTTGAGTGTTCTATTTTTCCTTTCGGCAATGCCATTCTGTTGCGGGGGGTATAAGGGGCAGTTATGAATAATGCCCGAGGATTCACACAAAGATTTCAAAGTATTAGATTCATATTCTCCGCCTCTATCGGAGTGGAGCCGTTTAATTTTCTTGTCTAACTGATTTTCTACTTCAGTTTTAAAGACTATAAATTTTCCTTTGGCTTCATCTTTTGTTCTTAGTAAATATACTTTTGAGAACTTGGAGAAATCATCAATGAATGTAATATAATACCGTTTTCCACCTCTACTTTCAGGAGTTTTGAAGTCAGCTAAATCGGTGTGAATTAATTCTAATACAGATGTAACACGAGAATTCACATTTACAAACGATTTTCTAGCAAATTTTGCTTCAGCACAGATTTCACATTGTGTACATGCATCATTAGACAAATTTGACAACAAGTTCATGCTTCTCATTCTATTTAAACATTTTGTGCCAACATGGCCTAACCTACCATGCCACATATCTAAAGAAACAGTAATGTAAGCAGAAGAAGAAGCATTATTATTAATGTTTTGAACATGTCGAGCTGGGATGTGGTTTTCAATACCAATTACATCAGAATGCTTTCTAACTACTGTAACATCTAGCACAAAAAGCCCTCCATGCAAGTATCCCTTACCCAAAAAAGTTCCACGTCTGGTCATGACCATTCGATCAGACTCAAAAACCAATTTAACTCCGGCCTTATTAAGCAGGCCTGCAAAAATCAAATTTCAACGAAGGGAGGGAACAAAGAGTACATTTTGTAAAATTAATTGTTTCCCAAACCCGAGCATTATTTCTACTTTTCCTCTACCACATACCTGGGATACGCTGGAGTTCCCCATGAACACTTGTTCACCTCCAGTGATTGGTTCGAACTCTTTAAACAGGTCTTTATTGTTGCAGAAGTGGCGTGACGCTCCTGTGTCTACGACCCACTCGTCTGGATCTTCCACCGTGTTAGCCTCGGTTATTACTGCTGCTACCATGTCTGAGTTATCTGCATCTCCCACCAGGTGAGCTTGGCTTTTAGGCCCTTCAGTGGATGGTTTTTGAGTGTTCTGGCTCGTGCTTCCTTTGCGGTGGTAGCATTGGGCAGCACGATAGCCACATTTCCCACAAACGTAACATTCCTCAGAACCTTTCCCCTTTTTCTGAATTTGGCCACTTTTGATACGATTGTTGTTGTTGTTGTTGTTGTTGGAGTTCTTCCTTTGATTTCTACTGTTTTCACCAACTTTAGGCTTGTTATAGCCTGCATTAGTTTCAACAACATTTGCTTTAAAATTACCTGTAGGGGCTACAGTGCTGTGAACAAGACGGTTCTCTTCTTCAATGTTGAGACTACTGATTAGCTGTTGCAAGGTATAATTGCGCCGATCGTGCTTCATTTTGTTCTTAAAGTCTACCCATGACTCGGGCAGCTTGTCAACTAGTGAATCACACAGGACAACATCATTGACTTCACCTCATTCGGCCTTCATGTCTGCAACGAGGTTCTCAAAGACGTGTACCTGATCAACAATTGATTTGGTATCTGTCATCATGAAGTGCAGCCATCGTCCCACTGCATATTTCCTTCTTCCTGCATCATCACCACCATATTTTTCCTTAAGTAAGTCCCAGATTACCTTTGTTGACTTATGGTTTGAGAACATGTCAAACAAAGGATCTGAGATGCGTTGGAGTATGGTAGTACGAGCAGTCTTGTTGTCTTTTTCGTATTTCGCACGAACAGCCTGAGATACTGAGGAAGGCTCTGTTGATGCCGACTTGGGATCCTTGGACACTCTGTCGAGTTTGGATAAATAGAGTTGTCAGAAGCAGTTACCTGAGTATCCTTCTGGGCAGATGAGGCTGGGGACTGCTTGTCAGCCACGTCGAATTTTACAGGATCTTCGATTATAACATAATCGACGTCTTTTGATTCCAGTAGCATCACCAGTTTCGCTGACCATCTTCGGTAGTTCAGACCTCCAGTTAGAGGTTGAATAGGCGTGACATCAAAGGCGTAGTTTGTCTCTTGAGCCATTGTTGAATTCGCAGAGTAAAGGTTTTTAATTGTTGGTTTGTGAGAACGAAAACAACAATGTTGTGCGTAACAGTACTTTGAATATGGCTGTATCGCGTGAGTGAAACTGGGAATTGTAGGTTTCGGTGTCGTCTTGTAACACTACCTTAAAAACCTTTACGACCAGGGAATCACAAGTTTTCGACAGGTAAGCACAGAACACAACGCTCAGGTGATGTATCAGTTCGGGAAAAAGGTGTTCTCACAACGATGGGGAAGGGCGATTTATATACTGGAAGCTATAACCGCCCAGCCCCTCTCAACCATAGAGACAGTGCGAAAAGAGAGGAGTGTGGACAAGACCAACGCTTTGTTCGCTCACGTTCTATAGTTTAGAAAGAAGAGCGGACAAGGTGATTTGTTATCCCACAAAAATAGGGGTTAAAATGTATAAAGAGGTGCAAAACTTTGACCACACCACACCTCACCGCGACACGCGTGCGAACCGAGCGGGCGGGCGACGGCGGCGCGCGCGTGGTTTCCCCTTATTTCCCTCCATAACACTTCAAGCCTTGTCTAAGGAGTTGGTGTTTAAAAGGTAAGAAAAGATGGGCTAGCTTTCCAATGTGGGATACTTAGTAAAGACATTTTCTAATGCCTTTGCCTCATTAATGTTCCCAACAAGAACATCAGCCACCATAAACAAACCCCCACGCAACCCAAAACTCCAAGACGCCATTTCATGTTCAGCAAAGTCCCAAACAAGGAGAAGTCTCACCATTCCTCAACTCTAGCTCGACTCGTCTTCTACTTCTCACCTGCGGTCGCCACCCTCGTTTCACGGAGGCAGCCTCTGCTTCCTTGCTCCTTCTCCTTCATTACCTTCTTTCTTTCTTTGGCCCCGGCCTCATCCTCACCTTTTTCTCTTCCTTCTCGTGAAATCTTCTTTTTCTTTTTTTTTTTGGAGCCAAGTCAATTCTTCCCCACCACCGGAATTCGATATTGTGACCTTCCCTCAGGGGGAGCTACAGAAATACCATCTGAGCACAAGGTGTTTGGCTCTCATGAAATCTTCTTGACACTTATATAATTTTAAACAACCACTTAATAAAATAAATTTGGAGATACAACCTTTAGGGAGAAGAAGAATTTCTGGAAAGAGACACTGAATGTGAAGACTCAGACAAGTAATGATGACTGATGAGCATTGAAACCTCCATAGCAAACAAGTGACAAAGAAAATGGGCACAATAAAAGCAAAGAATAGAGATCAAATGTCACTAAGAAAAAGTTGTATAGTTAACTTTTCAACTTATAGTTTGTAAGTTAAATTTTGAAGGGTATGATTATCACAACAAATAAGTGTTCAATAACAGTGTGTGTGAATAGCACAGAAGACAAAAAGCCTGTAGTTCAGTTCAAATCCCAGCAAGCAAGGCTGGCTGGGATAGCAGCCATGAACCTGATCTTGGACAACTGATAAACAAGTTATATGAACAAATGAACATCACACGCCATGGATAAACATAACCAGAAGTTCACGGGAGCAACCCCAACTGAATTGGTAGGGCTGTTGACTTGATAACCACAAGGTTCTAAATTTAACTCTAAGTGGGAGCAGCCTATTAGCCTATTGATCTTCTTGGTTTGAGTTGGTCAGCTATGACTCTATAAACAATCTAGGTTGATTTATCCATATGATCTTTTGCGAGCTAGGATCACAAGACGGGATTTACATAATAAACACCCCAGGCCTCGGGTAGGACTGAGGTAACCCAAAAAAGAACAGAAGTTTGCCAATTGCCATGAATTGAACATAGCACATATATTCACATAATAGTGAAAAACAAGAAGTTAATATCAACAATTTAAGCACTTCATTCCCTAATCCTAAACCCAGAGTTAACTTTCATCTGCAAAAACCAATTATACTATAACAGCTGGAAAGCATTTGAATATCACCTATGTTAGAATCATTCAACAAGCATAAATAGAGCAATTTCAAATTGCGGCAAAACCAACAAGTTTCTCTTAAAATTAACATTTTTTAAAACATTTGAGGGAGCTTAAGGATTAAATTTCAAGAGCATTGATAAGATAGCTATAGAAAAATACAATCAGATAATTCAAAACATTTTTGGCAGAGATTATATTTGTAAGAAATCCCAAATTCCAAATTGAAATCGAACTTTTGTAATTCGCGGTCATTGATAAACCATAAACATAGAAATTTGGGAAATCGCTACCCTAATCTTACTCGTCTTGGGCGAAGAGGAGACGGAGGCGGGAGGCGAAGCGGCCGGTAGGCTCGAGGGCAGCTTCAGCTAGAAGGCTTTGCCTGATGTGATTCATGCGTTTAGTAAGTCCTTCTTGCTCTTCTTTCAGCGCCTCCATGTCCTCTTGGAGATCGTTGATTCGGTACTTTTGGCCCAGAGAGCGCACGCTCAAGAGAAGAATTCCGGTCATCGCGAAGAATTGAATGAAGCTGTGCTTTCTCTTCATTGCGTTGGCAAAAAGGCCGAGAGGCTTCTTTGTGCTTCCTACGCCGCCGGGGAAGGCGGGGCGCGACGGCGGTGCAGTGGAGGCCATGGTGATCCAGCTCCTAGCAGCAGTGAAAGAGGGTTTAAGAAATTAGAGATACTCATTCGATGGATTATTTTTGAATGGAATTACTCGAAATTGAATTAATATTTTTTTAATTTGAAAAGTTAATTATTTAATCAAATAATTATTTATTAATTGACCAATTATACTAAGTAGGGGTGAGCGTGGAGCGAGTTGGAGCAGATCTGAAATGAATATGCTAAAGGCGAATTTAAAAAATCTCATCCGCATTCGCAAATGGTGCAGATTCAATCTGATCCGTTAATGACGGATTCAGCGGATCAGATATGAATCATATGACGGATTTTAAATTTAAAAATAAAATAATTTATAACACAAGATTTCAAACATTAAAAAATTAAAATAACTAATTTTCAAATCATTTCATTCAAAAAGATATACACATATATATAGGAATTAGGAAGAAATATGTTAGAACAATTTTAGAAGTTGATGAATTGAATTTTTTGAACAAATTCACTGATTCATATTTATCTTAATTTTTGATATTTTTAATCTCAAATTTAGAATTTTATCTTTGCATAAAAGTTGTAATCTTATGAGTTAGCTTTTCAATACAACTTGAATCATTTTAATTGGACCATTATAAATATAGATATGCCTAAAATACTACACAGTGGTCAATTCCTATGAGAATGCATGTTTTGACTACTTTCCTAATTTCATGTCTTCCTTTACAAATTGAAGGCTTATTTGTAACTGATGCAGTTAGAAGAACATATGAATTGGATGGCGTCGAGAATTGGGCATTGTTTGGCAAAAGGCGGTTTTATACGGATTGTGTTAACAATTTGTGGTTAACTGATTGTGTTAGCGAGTTTGAAGAGAAGCCTCAAGGCTTCTCTATTTGAGAAGTCTTGAAGCCTCCAGAATGAAAAAAACAAAGGCCAACCTTTCTCCAAAATGTCAAATCTTAAACTCTAATAATTGTAGCATTCGGGGTTTCAGTTTAGCTCCAAATCGTTGATTACCAAACATTGTAATCAGCATTTTGACCAACATGTATTTGAGCAGACAAAACAGTGTACCCTTTTATCCCTTGAAGCTTTTCCCATATCCCCAACTTCTGTAAGTCTGCTAACAATTTCTGGGTAGGGAGTTTCTATGGCCATTACTCATACTTCTATTATCTTGTTGCCCAAAATGCCCAATCCTAAGACTTTTGTTGATAGGCCTGTAAGTTCGTGCAATTTTAGTAGCAAGATTGTTAATTGAACTCCATCTAGTTCAACAACCCTATTATAGATCCATGGCATGAAGCCATCCATCATCATCATGAAAACACTATTTGCAGCTCATGAAAGTTGGATAAGTACATTTCAAAACCTTTCCAAATGACATATTACTGCATTCATTTATTATAGTACAAATGACATATCGAAGTTATTGGGAAAATATTTTAATACAAGCAAACCGGACAATTTTCCTTTCCAGTGTTTTGAATATCTTTCAAAGTAAACAAAACTCCTACCTGTGGAAAAAAACACAGTCCACTGTAGAACCCTCTAATCATTAAAAAATCCATCATTTAGTCACAGATGAACCAGCTGAAAGTCTTTGACTTCTTGCCTTATCAGCTTTATCCATGTAGTCTTGGTGAGATTGATGTTTGGAGCCTTCAATTCAGAGTAACACATTTTTGTCAGAATTGGCAGATATGCAGCAAGATCATTTCATCAATATTTTAAGAAGGAAACAAGCAGAAATAGAATTCTGCATATCAATGCTTTAATAAGGGAGCAACTGAGCAAGGACATAAAGAAACTGCTACTGAGTATATTTCCACCTTTACTTTAAAAGCAAAAATGAAAGACAATAGCTTAGCAGGACAACACATTTTACCCCAGTGGAAAGAGAGTGATGAAGAGTAAACTCTCAACTTTTTTTAATAGGCATAAATTCTTTTTTGGTGTAACATGTGTAAATATACATGGAAAACTGCACATTTGCCTAATTGGCCGTGTTTGGTAACATAGTTAGCTTATCAGCCAATTTTAGCTTGTTTGATCACTATTAGTTGTTTGACTTGGTTAAACAACCAATATGAGTGTTCAGTTAATCAGTTTATTGCTCCAAAATGCTAAAATTCAAAAATCGATCAGCTTTTTAAGAAAATAAATTATACCCTTAAAAGTCATTTTGCATCTAATCATCTATCAGCTAACAGCTAATTTACCAAACATCTTTCTACGACCAACTAATATTATCAGCTAGTCAAACCAATTAACCCAATCCGCTAACAACTATTTGCTAAACACCCACAATTATCTTGTTCAAGGATATTAGTTAAAGTCACGGCGGTATATGAAAGATGCATGCACAGCTTGGGCCCATTAGATGGTTGACACATTTTCAGAGTTTTTTGGTAATTGTAGCTCATAAGCATATATATGTTGACCCTCTAGAACAAATATGATATGCTTTAAGCATTGTCACAGTACATATATCAACTTAATATATGAGGTGTGCACATCATGCATAACTGAAAATGCTTGTGGTGCAGCAAGAACCCATCAAGGCATGTGGATTATTGCATATATTTTACCCTTCATAGCACTAGCACTAGTAGTAGAACTATACTATAATTGAGATAAGCATGAAGTCAGATATAGACATCCATACATGCATGCATAATGTCTAAGAACCTTCATTGTAAGTAACTTCATCTTGAAATTTCTTTATATCATCCCAAATTCCCAAACTCCAAATCTTTGTGGCTTTCTTTAGTTTACTTTTGAATTCCGGCTTCAATTTGCCAACTAAGATTGAGAATGACTATATCCCAAATCCAATCAATGCCTAACACGGTATAATCTATCTTGTATTCTGCAAACAATAGAAGTCATGACCAAGCATTGGTTCCTAATAACCGTCTGCACTTAATACTAGAATGGAAAATGGGCATTTCATAGAAATTATTACGAGGAGCTGACCTGTACATCGCTGATCTCTGATCAAAGGAATTAGAGAAATCCTGAATTTTGAACTGTGGATTTGATGATAGTGGACTTAAAATAATGATTTTCTTTTATCTCATCTACGTAATATCACTAATATGGCTTGAAGTAAGGGAATATGATACCTGAGACCTTACTCCTAAATAATATAAACACATTGCGGGTGGCATCAAGTCAAATTATACATCACTAGACCTCTTGGCTATAATGACTCTGATCAAGAGCCACAAATTTGTTTGACAGCGAAGCTCAGCCTTTCACTACTTGCAAAGAAATAAAACCCAATGGGGTCGAGCAAAAGGTACTTTAATCAGAACAAGTCCTAGGCCGCAAGAACCCAGTTGTGGAGCTGTTTAACAATTCTCAAAAAGCTCCTTCAACTTAGATTAATTTCATTCAATTACCATTTCTTGTTTGCATTGAGCCAGTTTCTTAGTGAATGGAGTTAGTGACAGAGGGGAAACTCTGTGCACAATGGATATATTGACCGGACAATTCTGAATAATGGGGTCTGTTAAAATCAGAAAGATTTTTTTTTTTTTAAATGGCAAAAACTAATGTACAATATTGAATTGATTCCTCTTTATTTCAGAATCACCTTAACTCTAAATTACCTTCCAGTTCAAAATCTCTATTTCCTTCGATAAAACTAATCTTAGTTCTATTGTTAATTCTTCAAATATTAATGAAGCTTCAATGGTAAATAAAACAGATAAAGTAAGAAACACCTAGCAATTACCTCAGAATCTCAAATTAATCTCCGGAAAGAAAGAAAATCGAGAAATTAGCGGAAGTGAGAAATAGCATACCTCGGTTCATGAAGTACCAGGGAACGCCAAAGAGGGCGCCGATGATGGCCATTCCGGCGAATACGTGCTTCTTGTCCCCACTGTACAGGTAGTGTTCCAACTTCGCTCCAAAACCTCCTCCTCCATTGCCGCTCATCTTCTGATTCGCTTCTCACTTCGTTTTTGGTTAAACCCTTTCTCTTTCTTCCTGCGCTCTTCTTGAAGTATTCGTCTGTGGAGTTGCTCGGCAGGCAGGGCTAGTTGACGCCTTGACGGTGGCGCTTTAGCAATTAGCATGTGTATTGGGCCTGTTAACTGCAGCTCATTGGACTTTTTGTGGGCCTTAATCTTTAACTAAGCTCCTGGTTATATAGGGAAGTTCGAGGTCCATATAGGCATTATCCGCAAATTACGCTGTGGACACGTGTCCACAATGCATTGTGGATACGAGTCCAAAATAACGTCATTTTTAGAGAAAATGCGGCATTCTAACGGCGTTATTTGTTTGTGGCATTATGAATGTACAGTTATGGAATTATGAATGTACGGCTATGGAATTATGAATTTACAGTTATGGAATTATGAATGTAAGTTATGGAATTATGAACACAGAGCTCTGACATTATGAACTTACAATTATAAACATATAGTGATAAAATTATGAACATAGAGCTCTAAAATTGTGAACATAGAGTTTCGAAAATTATGAATGTACAGTTATGGAATTATGAATGTACAGTTATGGAATTATGAACACACAGCTCTGACATTATGAACTTACAATATGAATATATAGTGATAAAATTATGAACATAGAGCTCTAAAATTGTGAACATAGAGCTTCGAAAATTATGAATTTACAGTTATTGAATTATGAATGTACAGTTACGGAATTATGAATGTACAGTTATGGAAGTATGAATGTACAGTTATGGAATTATGAACACAGAGCTCTGACATTATAAACTTACAATTATGAATATATAGTGATAAAATTATGAACATATACTCCTATAACGAAGCAGTCTGAAATTTAAAGAAAAAAAAGTGGAAGATAACGGTGCCACTAACAGCACCGTTACCGTGTCCACAATGCATGTTGGACACGGGTCCATAGCATAACGATTGGGCATTATCCTTTTTATTTTGGCAAATTATACCATGGACGGGGATCCAACTGAATAATTGTTATATCATATATCAGAGTCCATCTTGTAATGTGGATTCTGGTCTAAAAATTATGTGTTTCGTATTTTAAGCAAATTATATCAC